TGCCCTTTATGAGTTGTGGCCAATTCAGCTTAGAGGTCTTTGATCTCTTCTTCTTTTTGCCCACTGAGAAGTTTGAGGGCATCTCTTTCCTCTGTGATCTTTTTAAGATCAGCCTTGCACTGGCTCAACTCTTCTCGGGATTTAAAAAATGTTTCCCGATGAAGTGTCAAGGCCTATGAAGAAAGAAAGGAAATCAGGCAAGAAGAAATAAATGCAAGCTTAATATTGATGAAGGGAGCTGAGGCTTACCAGCTCAGAAGTAGTTGAGCCTCATCAAAAAGACTCGATACATCACCCAGGTCGGTAGCATCTTCGACTCCCATGAAGCAACCATAGAAAAGGTCCCCCCCTTCGTGGGTTGTTCCCACATTGGGGGTCCCCATAGCCTGGGCTTCCTGAATTTGCCCCTCGAAAAATGTGGAGAGGGGAGGCGAATTGCCAATATCTATTTCCCCAAGCAAGTCACTTGGGGTGTTCTCTTTGTTTCGAATGGCCTCGGAACTGATCCCTTCATGCACATCCCCCGATTGCTCATCACGGCGGGAGGCATCTTGAGCCTCTGATGACTCGGGGACTTTTCTCGGGCCATCTTTCAAGATCTCCTCGGTTCGAGGCTAAACCTCTTCGATCATCACCGGCTCAGCGGCCTTTGGGGCCTCAGCGCTCCTCTTCGTTCAGGCTACTAGCTCGAAACAAGCTCTTCTTGGGCTTTGGAGTATCGGAGGGAGAGACCCTTTTTCTTTTCTTTTCCTTTGTGGCTTTGGGACCGGGGGCGAAACCACCTCCTCCCCGTACGGGGGCCTCATGACGGCATCTTTACCGAGGCCTGTATGAAAAGAAATCAAGTGAGTATAAGAGGGAAACACTTTAAGGCCATCAAATTAGGGATGTGCATTTGGATCGGATATCTGAAATCCGATCCGATCCACTCTATTTCGGATTTTCGAATTTCAAATTTCGGATTTTCGGTTTGGATACGGATTGTGTTTAATGAAATTTCAGATTTTCGAATTGGATTCAGATTGGTATGATTTTAATCTGATCAGATCCGATATCTGAAATTATATGTACCTATATAAATACACACTAAAATTTTAGAGTTAGACTTATTCATTTTTCACACCCCCCTCACTCATTTAGATTTTTCCGCCTCTCTTCCACCTCTCTTCTCTTCAGTGAAGACTAAAAGAGTCTCAATGACTCAAACTTCTGATTTTACTTTGATTTTATGTCTCTTTCTTCCGCCTCTCTTCTCTTCTCTCCTGTCTTTTATGTCTATTTCATGTTCTATTCTTCAACTTTTGATTTTATTTTGATCTTTTTGTTTGTTTTGGTAGATGGAAGATGAGACAGAGACACCAAATGAACTTCAAATTATTGAAAAATTTGGTGAAAATGATGCTTCAACTGATTCCACAACCAGCAACAGTGAATCTCAATATGATTGAATGGTGTTTTAGGAGATGAATGGTGTTTATTCACTCAATTTTTTTGATTCTGATTGAATGGTATTTTAGGAGATGAATGGTGTTTTCTGATTGAATGGTGTTTTAGGAGATGAATGGTCCTAAGTCCTAACCAGCAATTTTGTAACAATCCAATCCGACAATCCGAAAAATTATCCGATCCAAAGTTTAAAATCCGATCTGATCCGATCCAATGTTAATTTGGATCGGATTCAGATTACCCTTTTCAGAATCTGAAATCCGAATCCGAAATATGCTAAATCCGATCCAATCCGATTCGTACACAACCCTACATCAAATACGTAAAGAAAAGGCTTACCGTGATTTTTGGCCTCCTATTGGCCCCTTGTAGATCGCGCCACGAGCGCTCAACATACGAGGAGGTCGAAGCCAGGGTCCAAACCTAACTCTCGAGGCTCAGAATCACACCAGGCATCCAAGCGACCGCTACATCATAGAAAGGGATGTCGATGAGGAGAAGTAAAGGAAACAAAACTGTAAATAGAAGCAAAAGGAAGGATTAAACTTATGGTTCATATTCCATTTCTTTGGAAATGGCTTCTTCTCTGCCGGAATTAGGTTTGAAGTCTTCACTCGAACGAACTGACCCATCTACCCTCAATCCTTGTCCTTGTCTATGCACGAGAACAACACTTTGTTGGCCCGACGCTGAAGCTTTATCAACCCACATCGAAAAAGATGAGATCTATACATCCTAATGAGGTGGTCAAGGGTGAAAGGCGTCCCTTCTTTTTGGCTCGCGAAAAATCAGAACAAAAAGAGAATCCGCCAAAAGGAAGGTTGTATCTGACCTAGGATTATTTGGCATTGGCAACAGAAGTTGATGATGATTAGATCGATAGGGCCCATCGTGAAAGGGTAAGTGTAAACACTTAGAAACCCTTTCACGTGGGTAGTGATATCTTCCTCGAGGGTCGGAATCACCACCTCTTTCTTCTTGTAATGTCAGTCTTTCTTGACCTGCTCAAGGTCGCTCTCAGTTATCGAGCACATGTATCTCGACATCGGCTCGCACCAGCCAAGGACATATGAAGTTTTCTCGACTTTGAAGTCGAAAGTAAGATCATACCCACCTCAGGAACGCACTCCTGAGGGCGCGACTCCACCGGCGTTTTATCGCCGACCGACCGCGATAAAGAGGCGCCTCCCTTTGTGGAACAATTTTAGACATTTTTTCCATCTCTGCGAGTTGGAAGAAGGAAGAAGGGAATAAGGTTTGGTGTTTTGAGGAAAGGTTGATAATGAAACCTAGAGTATACATCACGAGAAAACTTGAAGGAAGTGAAAAGCTTTGCAGATTAGAGCAGAGATTAAGAGTAAAGTTTGGACAAAAGAGAAGGAAAACACATTTATAGGAATAAGGTGATGGTTTGAAAATCAATAATGGCGGACAGCAATTGACAGGCATTTAATGCCTCGATATGCGAATCGACGGGACGTTTTAGTCACTTACGTCATGAGGAAGACGTCATAACAGGTCGAGGTACAAAATCGAAGGCTCAATTCGTTTCTTCTCGTTACGCTCCAAGAAATAAAGGGACTACCCAATTTTACCATTTGATTGAGGCTATGGAATCATATCGAATGTCGACCTCGTAATGGACCAGACCGAGGTTCGAGGATCGAGGTGCTTATTGAAGATCGAGGCCAGTAGCTATCGAGACCAAAAGAGACATATATTGAGCAAAGTACAACAACGGAAAGGCGAGATATCCATGACTGGCTGAAGATCATGGCGTAAATCTCGGAAGAGATCAAATCAAGGGCGGTAATTTAGTTAATTATGGGATTTACTTCCGTAATTAGAATTGTACCATAAATAGAATTTCTCTACTATATAAAGAGGGTCCTAATCATCTTGTAACTATCTTACATTCTCGCATATCAAAGTAATACATTACTTTCTAGCTAATATTCTTGTTCATCAATTTACTTCTTTATTATTTTGGGAACCGATCAGTTCGAGGGCACTTAAGCTTGAGGGTTGAATCACGTTTCAAGACTGATTTGCTTTATCTCATTGTTAATCTTTACTGCTATTTTCTACGTTTATCAATTGGTGTTAGGTAAAATCATGTGTCCTTAAAATCAGATTATAAGTTTAATTGTTTATCCGATTTTTAGGGTAGACATTATACTACTACAGTACTACTAGTTAACTGAATTTAGATTTTTTTTTAAGGAGTGGTATTTCACTTTCGTCGTTCCTACTTATTGAAGTTGATTTTGAATATTGAAAGCTACTATTCATCGTAATTGATTGATCTATATTGAAGTCGTGCTAGTATTATTTTAGTCATAATAAAGGTTTTCCTAAATGAAAAAGGGCCGAGAATGCCCTTAACCTATTGGAAATGGCTCAAAATGCCCCTCATCCACCTTTTGGTCCAAAAATGGCACTAACGTTTTCTTTAGTATCAAAATTGCCCCTTGAACTAACGTTTAACTTATTGGATGTGTGGGCCCTTTATTAAAATACATGTGGCACTGTCCAATTGGTTAACATTAAGGAATAAAATTAATAAGACCCAACCCATAAACCCGACCCACATATTCTGGTACCCATATTTTTATTAGACCCAATATCCTTTCTTTATCTTCATCTTCATCTTGCTTTCTTTTTCACCAAAAAAGACATCACTATGTCTGATACGAATTGAACCCAGATTAGCAAGAATCATATCCAAGCAAACCTTATATGAATAAAACAAGCAGTAGGTCCTCAAAAATAGAAAAAATTAGATCGGCCTCACTAGTTATCATCTTTTACAAAAGAAAGTCTATTATCCAAAATAGAATTGGAAGCATAAGCTCCGTAAAACAAGTGCATTGTCCGTTTCTTCGTTTTTTTTGCTTCTTTAATTAATTAGCTAGTATAATAATCTGAAATGCTTTACTTGTGCGGTCAATGTCAGCGAAGTAGAAGCATTGCTTGATCTTGTACAAGAAATTGAGTTGCTTCATCACCAAAGATGAGATGACCCATAAGGTATCTAATCTGAATACAGAATAGCCATTAGAAAACTATCTTTTAACCTTAATTTGTTGTCTCTGTCCCTGGAATTTCAAGCTAATTGCCGAATGGCAGTAAGAACTCTTACTAGCACTTTTATTAATTTTAATCCTCAGTGTTAACCAACTGAACAGTGCCACATGGATTTTAAAAAGGGCCCACACATTCAATAAGTCAAACGTTAGTTCAAGGGGCAATTTTGATACTAAAGAAAACGTTAGTGGCATTTTTGAACCAAAAGGTGGATGAGGGATATTTTTGAGCCATTTCTAATAGATTAGGGGCATTTTTGACCCTTTTCCGTTTCCAAATCTTTCAACCTTTTAAAGTCTACGAGTATAATATCTAAGTTATCTCCTCCCAACAACTCAAAATAATTATACCATACCATCTAAAGAATATCCGTCCGGTAAAATTTTTTTATATATACTTACATATACACCTCTACATAGTCTATCGTCCATCCAATCATTTAAAAGGAAAAAAAAAACATAAGAATTCTATAATGCATCATAGCTTCCAAGAACGTCAATCTCAGAATTAGCAGATTCTAATAAAGCAAGGAACTGCTCTTCCATCTGGCTGCTAAATAATAAATGCTCAAAATTAGGTTCCGTAAAATAATTAGACTCTGAACTCAAAGACGATGAATTAGACTTAGACGACGAAGCTGATGGCGACGCTGATGGTGACGAAGACTTTGCTGCGGGCAGCAGTTCATGAAGTTCATTGTTGTCACGTCCATTATAATCTTCAAACTCTGTTGCTCCATTACTCTCCATGATTCTCGCTATATCGGAGTCTGGCCCGGTGAGTTCTTGGACAAGTGCCCTAAATCTTGACGCACTAGTCTTTACTTTCATGGGAGTAGAAATATACACAACTTTGATATTTGACTTCTTAGAATTATGGTCATCTGATCTCCTCCTTTGTTTCTTGACCTTGTTGCACTTCATCACCCCCATATAATCCATATCTCTGTACTAAAAACTACTAGTACTACATATACTAACTAATTATTTCACGTGATATAACTAATTTGGAAGGTGGAAACTATAAAATTCAGCAAGCAGGAAGTATTAAGTTGAAGTGAGTAGGAAATGGAATTTGTTGATGAGAGGTATAAATAGGTACGGATTGGGAAAATTTTAGGTACAAAAAGGCTGCTTCTTGGAAAGGGATAATGAAGAAAAAAGGAAAAGATAAGACAAAAGGAGAAAAAGGGATTGGAAAATATAAGTCTTGATTGAAAAATAGGAAGCAAGGAGGAAATTAGGGTTTAAGAAGATTCTATTAGAGAGATACTTGGGAGACCCGCAAAGCCATGTACAATGAACAATATAACAAAGATAAAATTTGATAAATCCAATTCCCACGTGCGCAGACAATGATGACTCTTTAAAAGGTGATTATTCGTTTTATTATATAATTAAGAGCCACAAGAGAGCTTTAAAGATGTGTACATGTAATTGGTGTTTCTAGAACTAGATTACGACTTTTTTGGAAAGTGCTTTGGTTGGAAGTTCCACGAGATGACTAAAGACTAGTGTCCAATTAGAGAAACTATGGACTATTTTTTTAAATAGAAAATTTGATGGTCTATTTTGATCATGTATGTATTGTTATCTAAAACAGTTGAAAAGTGGGGCGCCTTACTTTTATGTTGGAGAATAGAGCCGCATAATCTTACATTTTTATAGTTATAAATTGTGAGAAAAATATTACAATTTTATTATATAACTCTTGAAATAGCTTACGCTACCATTACAGCTTGTATACTACTCTAGTTAACTGACTTATATATTGACCACTACTCCCTCCCGGTTCACAATAAGTGACCAATTTACTTTGGGCACACCCATTAAGTAAATATTAAATTCTAGACGAAAATAGTTAGTGTGACTAAACTACCATTTATTAAATATTGCACTAGAGTTATAGTAGCACTTACTTCTCTTCTCAAATGTGAGGAGTAAATGACTTTTTAGGGATACGTATATAAAGGTAATTTTGGAAAAACAAATTAATTTTTTTCCTGATTATATAAATGGACACTTATTTTGAACCAAAATAAAAAAATAAATTGATCACTTATTGTGGAACAGAGGGAGTAACTCAGGATCTATCTACTTATTACACCACTAACAGTTGAAGTAATTTAGCCACTACTCTGTCACCACATGTTTAGCTTTTATAATGGTATTGGCTCTCTAGATTCTAATTTATTCCGTGAAAGAATTTTTACATCTCTAAAGAGCAAGGGCTGTTAAAATATATAAAAGTAAATATACCGAAAAAATCAATACATAGTATATATACATATAATTTTTTTAAATCTACCTACACAGTGTATTTTTTCCGCGAAGGGGTGTCATTTGACACCTCTTCTTATAAGGTGGCTCCGGAATCATTCTTCATTATAATGATGCCATCCATAAACACAAGATGATCATTGAGATTGAGCAATCGAAAACACGCGCGACAATTCCACTTGCAAGAATTAAAAGAAATAGGAATAGAGTGGATGAATAATGTATAGTTGTGTATACATCTATGCACCCCATATATTTAATATCTTATGCAGTTATATTTTCAAAAAATAAATAAGGAAGGTTGTGTAGAAAATTGGAGTGTCAAACTAATGCCTAATAGCACACACTTATTAGGACAGAAAAGAGACGAGCAGTGTCATGGACAGATGATGCAAGCAGTAAGAGAAGAGTGTAACAATAGGTAATACCGTATACGTACTCATTGGTATCTAATTAACTTGATTTTGGACATGATAGTTTGAATCCTTTCAATTTGATCGAGAAAATTTTGACCTCTTTGAACTCATTCCGTATCTATTAGTAGTATGTAAATACTTATGTATATAATTCTTTAAGAGATTTAATTCTTTAAATGAATCAAACATGAAAACAAAATGTATTTTTTTTTGTTTATTGCTAGAAAATATATGAGTTTTTGTTGAGAAGTCAATTTTTTTTTTCTATATGACAATCAAAAGATGAGTAATACTAGTAGTAACTTATAATAGGAGACAAAGAAAAAGGTGTTTGTCGACATAAAACTCTACATTACAAGTATTTTTTTAAGTAATAAACTTTTTTGGTAAGAATTATAAAAATTACCATTAACAAAAAACAAAACAATACACCTATAAAGTACCTAAGAAACCAATTTGGTTGCTCAGGCTCTCGACAAAACTAATTACAGTAAATTACATCTATGGGCTCTCTTTGATCCTCTTAGCATATCTACTCTCTCTGTGTTCTCTCTTTGTATCTGTGCAATGATAAAACTCCTATTTACATGTGTTCCTCTAAAGAGCTTTCAGTTCTAGCAGTCCATGTATGATAGATTGCAGCTCCCCAAATTGCAGTGATCACTTCCTTTTTGAATTATTTCCAATGTTTAGTGTTGATCTATTGCAGACTTCGCATGACTCCTAGCTTCCTGATATCTACCCCAATCCAGTTTGCTAGGCTTTCCCTGACGGCTTCTATCCAGCTACATTCAAAAAATAAGTGTTGTTGTGTCTCCATATATACAGCTTCACATATGCAGCAACTAGTATCCTCCACTGGTATACGCATCCTCACCAATCAATTTTTTGTGAGTAGTTTGTCTTGAGTTGCCAACACAATGAAGCGCGTTTAGGTTGCAACACTAAACTCCAGAACAAGTCAGCTTCTGGAACTCTAGACATGCTAGTCTTCATGGCTAGGTAACTCTTGCTGACTGAATACTTGCATGTTGAATTCAGCCTATATGTCCCATTCAAATACCAATCGACCATCTTGTTCTTGATTTCATTAAGTTTCTTCCAGTATCAACTGCAGTCCACTGATGGTATATGTGTCCATATGTCAGTATTAGTTTTCATATACAGCCCATGTATCCATTTAGCCCATAGTAAATCCTTCTTAGTAACTAGTTGCCAGATTTGTTTCCCCAATGAGGCTACATTCCAGGTTTTACTATCTTTGATATTTTAACCTCCAAATTTCTTTGGGACACACACCTTTTCTCAAGCGACCAAAGCAATCTTTTTCTTTTCCTCAAACCCACCCCAAAGATACTCTCTGCACTTTTTATCCACCTCTTTCAAGATACTCTGTGGAAAAATAAAAACAGCTCCCCATAAGTTGTAGATTGAAAACAAGACAACATTAATCTACTAGCTCTCCAGCATAAGACAATTGCCTTGCATAACTCTCAGTGATTCTGCTAGTTATTTTATCTACTAGATGATGACATTTCACCTGCTACACTTCTTGGAGGATAATGGAAGTACCAAGTATCTAATGGGAAAGGTACCTGCAGTAAAACTTGTCCCGCCTAACAGTTCCTCCTCCACAATTTCATCTACTGCTGCTAGGAAGATGTTTGATTTGTCAAATTTGCCATCAAACCAGTCACCTTGCTAAAATGGTTTAAAGCCTCCATTACTCTGGTTACTTAAGCAATATTACATTTGCAAAAGATCATTAAATCATCAGCAAATGTAAGGTGTGTAAGTTTAAGTGCATTACACATAGGATGCAATTTGAAATCTGGAAACTCATACATTCTTGTGAGGCAGAATACATCGGTATGCCATTAAACTTGTCCTCACTTTTCACTATGACACTTAATCTTGAGTCTGTTTCATTTGAACCTCATAGCAAGATTATTACCGTGTCACTTAGATACAAAATACAAGGGCCACCTTGCATGGGAATTACAAATGTTTAGCACGTGAGGGCTATAAAAAAAGCTGACATGGACTATTCCAACGGTAATAAACCAAGCCCACGTTATTTTCCTTCCTTATTTTATCCCTTTCTTAATTGTTATCTTCTCCCAAGCCCTAATTTCTCTCCATTTTTAACTTAGCTAAATTCCTCATGAAGAAGTGATAATCGGAGCTTTTTTTTCCAATTTGAAAGAACTCCATCCTCCTTAGTCGAATTTTTGAAGTAATCTTTCCTGCTACTTCTCTTAATTTCTGTTCAAATAATGTCCCAAAATACCGAAAGTGTTGACTGGTATCGATGTGGTCGTTCGTGTGAGCTAAAAATTCCATGGAGTGCTGCTAACCCAGGAAGAAGGTGCTTTGTATGTAAATTTGGCAAAGTAAGTGTATTCCACAAAAAATTCTTTATACGATTTTATTTGCCATTGATTTATATCAGTTGATTTTTTTTTTGTTTTTTGAAGGACAATGGGAGATATAAATATTTTAGATGGTTTGAGGACGAGTTTCCTGAGCAAGCGAATAGAGTTATATGGGGTTTGTTGAAAAGAGTGAATACATTTGATCAAGAAAGAGATCAAGCAAAAAAATGGAGGAATACAACAATGTTTGTTGTTGTACTGGTGGCCTTAATCATATGGCTTTGTTCAGGTTCTTGCTCTTGTTGATGGACTGAACCAAGTTTCTGGGAAAATTGTTTGTAATTTAGGCTAGTTAATGGATTTATTGTTCTGAACTGTTGCTCTACTTTTGTTCATTATTGTTGTACTTGGGATGGTATGGATCATATTTTGTGTATTTGATACTACCTTATTAATGTAATGTATTTTTGTTTTTGTTAAAAAATTGTAATTCTTTAGTGTTTACTGCAATTCTTTAGTGTTCACTGCAATTCTTTAGAATTTATGCTAGTTTATGTAGTTAAACGTATGAATGGAATGGAACTTACTTCATTGCAAAAGCTACTAAAAGAAGTGCTGCAACATACAAAATTGCATGTTACAGTAGCTAAAAGGAATGGAACTTAGTTCATTGAAAATTAAAGAAGTGCTGACATATTACATAATCCAATTCCAAAAGATACCAGTGAGTGCAGCAAACTACATTTAACAAAAGAAACAAGTTTTTAATAAAAACAAGTGATGCATATTACATAATCTTAGTTGGTCACTAATTTTTTTTGGCTAGTTTATCCATGATCACTTGAGTTGAAGACTAAGATGGTGCTTTTGT